CTTTTGTTTTGTGTTTCTTTTGTGTTTATGGCCATGTTCCCATTTCAGAGACCAATGTCTTCTAACTGATGAGCAATTGGTTTCAGGGTAAGACCAAACATTCTAAACAATCACCTCTGTCTAGAATGGCTTTCTTCTCTCACCATTCATTAATTGTGCTTTGTTTCTGATTTCCATTTTACACTGAACGATTAGATAATTGATTGATATACTAAAGCAAAGCATCAATAAGAAATGTGTTGCCAAGGTTCTGCTAGGGAATTTACAAAGATCCTACTAACATTTCTGTGCTTCCTGTACTGTATCCAGTGGGAGGATATGGACTGTTCCTTTGGGGGTATGGAAAAGTAGGGAATTCAGTAAGAACCCAGCAATGTGTTGGAGAAGGTATGGCAGTTTTTCTTGAGAGCACTCCCTGGAAATTGGGCCCAGGGGATGCACATCACCTACCTTGTATTTGAATTTAGTACTTTCTTTTCAAACCCTAAAACAGTTTCTTTCTGACTAACAGTCACTTAGTTTTACACATGAGATTGTACTTTGTCTCACATAATTCAGTGGTATATGCTTGCAATGTATGTCCCTGCACAGTGTAAATAATGAAGGCTGCCTTGCCAATGAACTGTTGTCACAGATTATTTCACCTTCCCATCTTTGAATTCTTTTGTCTTTCCAAAAAATCAACCTTCATCCTTATTGGTATAAAACAAAGAAAAGAGTTAGGATCCACAGAAGAGGAGTAGCTCTAGTGTCTTAAAGTGACTGAAGAAGTGGAAGTTGTACGTGCTGGGGAGAGGCTCCTTGTCTGGTACAGGCAGTCCCTGACTTACAACATTTCGAGTTACAGCGTTTTGCACTTACAACGTTATAAATTGACACCCTGTTTCAACTTTATGATGTCCGTTTCGACTTTACAACGCTTGATCCGATGTGATGCCACGCCAGTGAACAAGTTCGCTGTGTTGCTCATCTCCCTGGAGAACATCTGTCCAAACTTCCTTGGACACTTGCTTTAAGAAAGCAGACAAGACTTCAGAAAACCCTACAGCCAAGACTCCTGAGAAGACTCCAGGCAAGAACCCTTCAAAAAGTCCAACCAAGAGCCTTTCAAAAAGTCCAGCAAAGTCACCTCAAAGAAGTCCTTCAAAATCAGTATGATTGCTATTTACAATATAAATATATTAATGTAGCTATATTACTCATCTATAATTGATCGAGTACAAAATTCTGGGGTATTTTTAGTGAAAATTGGGTATCGGGCCTTGGTTCAGGAACCAATCCCTCATTTATAACATTGTTTCTTATGAGAAAATTGGTTCCAAGTTACGTTTCAACTTAAGACGCGGTTTTCAGGAACCAGTTGTGTCGTAAGTCTGAGGACTGCCTGTACTATACACAGGAAGCTGAGATTGCACTCACTGGAACTGCAGTTATGGTTTGTGCTGTTTTCTAGCCTAAGTGTTAACAGGAGAAGATTTAAAATTTTTTCTTTACTTATCTGAACCACTGGCACAAATGTGTGTCAAACAAGGAGAAAATATTGTTGCTGCCAGTTCACTTCTAAAAGTTAAAACTTTATTTGTAAATTGAATAAATCAGTAATAGTGGTATTTGATCCATACTAATGCTTCAAGAAGTATTACCATTAAGTTGTTTACTGTTTCTACATTGATAGAATTTAAAGCCTCTTACAGATGTGCAGGTAAAGCATAATAGGATCTGATATGCAATCCACACAATGCACATGGGAATGGCAGGAAGCATGTCCATATGGATTGTGTATCAGATCCCATCATGCATTATTTCCAGTGCAGGGGGAGCCTGATTCTGGTTTCTTGCTGCCCCAGCTAGTAGCAAGCTCCCATGGCTGAGAGGGCTGCCAGCCACAGGAGTGCGTCAGGCAGGTTGGGAGCCTGGTACATCCCTGTGGCTGGGAGCCCAGATCAGCGGTGGGTCTCTCAGCCACAGGGGCACACCTGGCCACATGTTCAATTAATGGCATGATAGGAAACAGCCACAAAGTTATACATTTTTTGTGGAATAACTTCATGGCTGTTAATCATGTCTTAAGTGTAATGTGTGGCGGGGGCCTACCTGGCAGCAACAACCCCAAACCAGTGCAGATTATGCAGCACTAGTATAATGAGTTCTCAGTCCTGAATCACTGTATAGGTACAAGACATCATGGGCGACTGGTGCCGCCTTAGTCGGGGGGGGAGGGGGGCATGTGCCTCTCCTGCGACCAGTCACTTCCGGGAGTGTCTGCAGCCGCTTCTAGGAGCGCAATGAGACTCTATTCCCCGGCCAGCACTTGCAGGGGGGCACTGGCACTCCTGCCTGCCCCCCCTGCCTGTTGCCTGACACGGCCAGTCAGGGGCTGCACCAGCGCTCTCTGGGCATGCACGTGCACCCCTGTGCATCCCCTACGCATTGCCACTGCAAGACATCTGTTTTTTTGCGCAAGCTTTGCTTTAAATGGTTTAGCTGTGGAGCCTTTTGTGGAAATTGGGGTACTAGTTTAACTTGGTGATAAAGATGTTATAACTGAGATCAGGCTGCCATCATCCAGGATCTTCCTCACTAAAACCATGGAAAAAAAAAACTTCTCACCAACAACAATCCTATTTCCTGGTTAGCTCCCCTTTCCACTTTGAAATCTTCAGCTCTTTCTGACTTGGGTCTCTCTCAGATTCTCTCTGGTGCAGTGTGAACCATCTAATTAATGCAGCCTGATGGAGCAGAGATGGGGTTTCCACATTTTGAGCATGTTAAAGTTTTGTGTTACTTATTTTAAACAGCATCTGTTCTTAGGAACAGTTTAAGGAAATGTTACAGTTTCCCCATATTAACTTCATAAATACATTACTGTGTTTATGGAATGCTGGCTTTGTTCTTACTGGGACTTCTTGGTTAATCTGTATTTCTGGCAATATCCAGCTGCATTCACCAGGAACCTGTCTCCTGTAAATGGCAATGCTGCTCTTTAGTGAGCAGATAGTGTCTGAAAAGGCAGTGTGCAAATACTTCCTCCATAAGTATGAGGGCTATCTTGATTTTTGTACGCCTGTTGATTGGCATTGCCAATAGCATAGCCTCTGTGATAATCCCTAAAGCCTTTTGATCAGCCAACACTTCTGGTACGCACAGGAATATTTTACAAGCAAAAATGGCTAGTTTAATTTCCATTTAGTTAGTATGTTGCTCATTTGTGGGTAAACACATTAAAAGATTATTTGGCTGTATATTTTTGTCTTGATCTCCTTAATTTACCCTGGCTGGACCAGAAATATGTTTTACATTAATTCCTTCTTTAAATACTAAAGGCTCATTTGCTGACAAAAGATAAGGAGACTACAACCCACACCCATGTATGCCCTTTTTTCTAGGCGATACTATGTTATCTAGGATAGCTGTTTTGGAAAGGGGGATGGGTGACACTTCAGTACATGTTTTTTTTAAAAAAAAAAAAGGGAACCGAGGTAAATTTTACAATTTTTTTTTAATACTCTTCAGATGTCTAGTTTATTTGCTTTGGTTTCAGTGGGACTTCTAAAAGGGCAGTTGAGGAAAGAGCGTTAATAATTCAATAATGTTTGCACAATCCTTGAACTGAAAAAAATGCATTCCCCACAGTTCGCTAAATTAGGTCTTTTTACTATTATCTGAGCACCCTATCTCAGAAAATATGGTAGTGGATACAGTATAAAAACTCAGAGATTAGAACTGTATAAGAACAACTGCAATCTATGCAATATTGGAAGGGTTCCTGTCATAGCTTTTGTGTCCCATGTTTTAACAGAGAGTATAGACACTTGCCACTTCCATCTGTGAGCTCATGGACACCGAGGTACTCCTTTCCCAGTCAATCCAGTAACATTTATGTGATGACCACAATTATTTTTATGGAGAGAGTGCATTAAGATTGGATATATTTGATTAACTTCCTTAAATGTAGTTTAGCAACTGAAAAGCTAACAGTGTGTGACATATATCGGGACCTGGTGACTGTCTATAAACTCACTAGGGGGGACCAGAAGGGTTTGGGGTAGACCTTGTTTCCCCTAGCGCCCCCCGGGATAACAAGGAATAACGGCCACAAGTTGTTGGAGAGTAGGTTTAGATTAGACATCCATAGGAACTACTTCACAGTCAGGGCGGCTAGGATCTGGAACCAACTTCCAAGGGAAGTGGTGCTGGCTCCTACCCTGGGGGTCTTTAAGAAGTGGCTTGATGCCTACCTGGCTGGGGTCATTTGAGCCCAGTTTTCTTCCTGCCCAGGCAGGGGGTCAGACCTGAAGATCTGCAAGGTCCCTTCCGACCCTACTTCTATGATTCTATGATATCACTTTTTTGCAGGCCACCAACGATATTTTGGCCATAGATTGAGTGCATCTCAGAATAATAGCTTTGAATCCCAGCAGTCTTTCCTGCCCAAGTGCAGGGGGATGGGCCCGATGATCTGTAAGGTCCCTTCCAGCCCCAACAACTATGAAACTATGAATGCCAGTAATGGGTTTAGAGGAGGAGGGACAGACAGCATGAGCATGGTTTTAATTAAATAAAACCAGCCTCTGTACTTGGCTAGTTAAAAGATCTTTGTCTGCTTGAGTGATAGGCTGTTTTTATATCAAGTTGCTTAATAAGTTTATTAACCTGCAGCTAAATTCAGGCAATGGCTAACTTAAACTGTTATATGTTTGAAAGCAAACTGCATCTAATTTTTCCATATATTTCTAAGAGCATGTAATTAAATAAGCATGAAACTCTAGTCTTTGTCTTTGATGCCTCTCATTTTATAATTCTGGTGATTTGAGAGATGTTATTGTAAAGGATCTTTAATTTTCATAATTGGCATTTGAAGTGCAGCAATCTAAATATGTTGTTTAACATACTCCAAGTAATTCAAATGAAATAAATTTGCATTTCAGCTGGGGGGATATTTGTGGGTGTGTTTTTTTGGTTTTTTTTATGACTATAGTAACATATTTCCACTCTTGAAGGTTTTCAGATGTGATCCTGGCAACAATTTTGGCTACAAAATCAGACATGTGTGGCAAAAAATTTGAGCTGAAGATTGATAATGTTCGTTTTGTTGGCCATCCTACGTTGCTGCAGCACGCCCTTGGACAGGTATGGTAAGAAAGCTGCTGGAGTATACAGTGAAGAATAGCTTTCTTCCTAGAACTGCTGTGGACAGAGCAGCAACAACCTAATTTAAGAAATTTAGAATCTAATTTGTGCAGTTTTACTTTGATACGTTTTTAAAACTATGGTATTAGAAGTTTTTATTATCAATTATTTCATAATGTTAATACGTTTGTATATTGAATGCTTATCCTCAGTTATGTTTGTACTTGAGATTTTACTGAAGTAACACCCATCACTGGTTCAAAGATAATTGCAGCATAACCAGTGATAGTACTAAATTGGGTGTGAAGGCTCATACTTTTGGAGCTGTTTCAAAAGGAGAATGTTTCAAAAGTTCAGCTGCTGCTAGATTCTAATTGTTATGTGTGAACAAGCTGGGAACAACACACCTTAGCAAAACTGATCCAATTTAAAGGTTGGATGAAGCAGCATTAGATTTGAAGTGGTTTTGCTACATTTGTATCGTTTCCACTTTGTCCACATGTAAAAATTAGAACATAACAGTTGCTGTCCTTTTGAAACAGTTCCAAATGTGTCCCTACCCATAGAAACCTGGTATAGACAAGCGTTCTGCATCAGGGTTTATCACAGTGTCAATTAAATTTCCTTTTCAGCATGTGTAAGTCACAGCATGATAAAAATGTTGGAAGCTATCTTTACTTTTTCTACCTTTTCACTGTCACCAGTGCTAGGGTTGTTTCAGAAAGATCTGTGTTCAGACTGATGTGGATTTTCTTTGTAGACAAGGCCATTTAAACATTTCTAAGTTGAGGCTTCAATTTGTAAATGCTATATGCTGAAGTGGAGTGGGCTTTCAGGGTCTGAGAGTGAAAGAATTGCCAAGTAAACCAAAAAAATTTTCTGAGAGTGGGGAGCTTTTTACCTTCTAGCTGCATGTGCCCAGGGCTTCTGATGTGGCTGTCAGCTAGTAGTCATGTGCTTTGGGGTTTGAGGAATTTTTTGCATCATTCCCAGAATTGTGTGATCTACCATGCACATTTGTCCTAGCAGGTCATATGATTTGGGGAATGAGGCATAACATTCCTCAAAACCCAATCATGCAATTGCTTTCATGTCTTCCAGCAACCCACAAGAAGTACACTAAACTTCTTTAACTGTTCCTGATCAGGTAGATCCTGGCTGCTTATGGCTGTGCCCTTGACCTCGCCCATCTGTGTATTGGCATTCTGTCTCAAAATATTCCCTGTGGTTTGAGTGGGAAAAGGCAGCTCCCTTATTCTACCCTGGACAGGGGACGTTACAAAGTCTTATGTAGTTCCAATTTGAGATCAGTGGTAGTACTTCTTTTGACTTGAATAGGAACAGAATTGCTTGTTAAGCCTTTAAAAAGGTACTTAGGGAAGTGCAACAAGTGCATGGAATTTTTTTTACTCCTGGAGACTAAATAGGCTTGTTGAAACTTCAGAGCTTGGTTTCCCCTCTCTTATGTCATTAATCCAAATACCAATGAGTCTGTAGAAAACAAGTTTCCTTTATTCCTTTCAGTGCGCGCCGGGGGGGGAACACTGTTAAATGGTCCTGTTCATTGTTTGGGGGTGCAGCATCAACTGAGGACTCTTGACATCTGTCATGATTATGTTCAAGTTCAGTGTGTAGTTTGTGGGATACTTAGGGTGTGGTTACATGTAATAAAGGCACTTAAAATGCAAGCATCTATTCATTATTCATATGACTGAGTTCTTTGTGGTTAAGTTGTGGTTCAGGCTATACTAAGAAAACCAGGCATCTTTCAGTCTCTAGGAACCCAGGTAAAAAGAGGGAACAGCTAATTAGCACTTTTGTCTCCAGCTCTGTCACTGCCTTCACCCCCCCACCAGGCATCTGGGCTCCTGGCTATGTCTCTGCTTGCCAGCCCTCTAGTGGCAAGTCAGAGCTGTGGAGTTTAGCAGTAGTGTGAAGCCAGGGGTGGGCAATTATAGTGGGCGGAGGACGGCTTACTGAGCTTTGGCATGCCATCAAGGGCCGCATGATAGGCAGCCAGGGGCAGATATATATTAATTTTCTACATTTTTTAGGGACCCTGTGGGCCAGCTAGAATGGCCTGGTGGGCCACATTTTGCCCACCCCTGTATTAAGCCTCAATGTGGGACTGTTTAGAGCACATTCTAACTTTAATGCCTCTTAAAATTTCATAGATTCAGTACTGGATAATTGTAACATGTAACAACACTCGTAGACTGTCACTTGGATCTCCTACGCCATCTTGTGGTGACACTTAGTGGAACAATGGAAATTTAACTGCTATTAAGAGTGAATCTGTAGGGGGTTTTTTTTCTGTACCCCTTCTCTCACCTTAAAATGACAGTTCAATAAAGGCTACCTTGAAGCTGTTTGTTAAAAAGAATAGACTTTCTACAAATTAACTGGTGTACAAATAAGAATCTCCTCTAAAGGAATAAATGTATAAGGGCACTTAGCAGTAAAATGCAATGGAAAATTAATCTAAATAAGAGCAGTTCTGTTAAATGGTATAAATTTCCATGTACTAAGGAAAAAAAATATTTTTCTGAAGCAGATGGGCTCTCTCCAGAATTCCTCAAAAACACGGTTTTGTAAAATAAGCATATTGATTTAATAAGTTTCTGGTAGGTAAATGGAGAAAACTGAGTAAGTCCATTAAAAATACTAATTCTGAGTTTATGGGTTGGAGTTTGATAGTGCATGTTCATCTCACCTTAATAGCATCTGTGGTAATTTGATGCGGTCAGTCTTTATTTTCAGTCTGGTGTTAAAATGCAGAGATCTTTGCTTCTTTATCTGTTTGTTTTTTAAATATTGTGCAGGTATCCAAAACTGACCCCTCACCAAAGAGAGAGATGCCTACCATGATTCTCTTCAATGTTGTATTTGCCTTAAGGGTAAGCATAGTCCACCCTAGCTCATTAAAGAATGGATTTTATACCCGTGTTTCTTGTTTTAAAATACTTATATTTCAGATACCAGTCATATTTCAATGAAACGTATTCACAATCTTCTTTTATTAAAATACAAATGTAATTAATTTGAAATAGTATAAAAATAAATGCAAAAACACTATCAAATGTGACGTTTAGGCTACAGAATTAAAATCTGTAAAATCACGTAGTCATAGAAATTGAGACTGAAAATTTATTTCTGCATTTTGAGTCCATTGCATGGGGTGAGCGCATGATTGTTCCCTGCAGGGTATTTTCTTGAGCTTCTTAATTGCTTCAAGTGATGAAGGCCTCTTTCTCTACTGTTTTTATTTCCAGAGGCAATTTTTTTTCAGAAGGCTTTTTTTGATAGCTCATATGTTCATTATCTCATTATTCTGAGTTATTTCTCATAATACAGCAGCTGGTAATTCCTTTCTTTTACCGGTGTTTGCACAGTTTTAAATATTGGTGTGTTTCCATCTGTTTTGTCCCCTTCTCTCCACATGCTGTCACTGAGGATTTTTTTTTTGGTGTTTTTTGGTATTTAGCCCTTCTAATCAGTCCCTCTATACCCTTCCTCAAGCTTTTCATTGTCTTGCAAGTAAATGAAAAGGGTTATTTGCTACTGAAAGGGTTATTTATGCATCCAATTCAACCTGTGTGCTTTAAGGTATGCATTACCTTAAATGGATTCCTGGAGACCCCTATGTAATCAGAAGCATAAGAACAGAGAAGACTATTTGCATGCTACAAAACCAGTGTAACAAATAGGTGCTTGAGAATGAAAACTAAGTAGCTCTTGACCATTGTTTAAAAGAATAAATTCAGATAGTACTCTTGGAGGCTCAGACATTTTTCTTTTAAGGAAGGAACTGCTGCCTCTGTGAAATGTGGAATAATGCATGTATTATTTGATAGGTGTCTGTGGTGCTTGTTACTGTATCTGGATCTCTACATTATTAAAGTTGCATCAAGTATGTATGTGCTTGAAGATCCATGGAGGTACCTTTTTAAGTTAGTAAGGGTATACGTTGGGGATCCATTTGCTAGCAGGACAGTAGAGCCTTAGAGTAATTGTGGGGCTATGATGCTTCTTTAAACGTCTACCCCACAGATTAGACAGATTGGGCATTTGTGCAAACATGAGAACTAATGATAGCCCACTGAAAAGTAAACTTTGTTAGGGAGATGAGAGAGTAAGGCAGCTGTAGGCCTGGCCCTGGAATAGGAGGTCTCCATTTTAGTTCATAGTCTACTCATCCTTTGTATGTCGGGATTAGTTCTCCAGCAGTTTGTGGTCTGTTTGAATTGAGAACACTTCCACTTAAGCTCATTATGTCCATTTCAGACATTCATGATTGAATTTTCAGCTCTTTTCCTCAGTGCAACTAGGTGCATGTTCCTCCTCAAACTATTTTCAGGAACTCAGTAGTTGAGTCTTTTTTGTGTTTGAAATAAATAATCAAGAGAAGGTATGGCTGTTATGTTTCCGTTTGCTCAAAAATGGCAGAAGAGACTGCCTTCAAAGTAGAAATAATAAGAGAAAACATCAGGAAGAGCAAGACTGGGACAATTTTCAGGTCAAGTTAATGCCTTTTCAGAATTTAGGAGTGAGTGAAAGTGGAGGTATAAGAGTTGTTTTGTATTCTTAATTGTAGCAGTCACTGAGTCACTCAAATAATGAAGCAAACATTTCCTGACTTTTTCATTTGCAGTGATTAATACATGGTAATGAAAAAAGAGACTTAGAAACAAAGATTTTAATACTTATACCTCAAGAATCAAATTACTATCTCCAGTCTCAGGTTTTTGGGGAAAATGGAAGTTGAAAATCTCCTTTCCTTTTCTAGCTCAATATTCTGATTCTGATCTGGTCCAAGTTGTATATCTTTTTTCCTGGATCAGAAGCTTGTGGTTTGATCTGTAGATGACTTTTTGCTGAAAATGGTATTTGGTTGGGTGCCCCTAAATGTTCTTGTCCTTCCCTTTTCATTCAGATGAAGTCCCAGGTATGGTGAAATAAAGATCTGAGAGTTTTGCAGAAAAAAATTAATATTCACTTTCCTTACAAGCCTTCCTGAAGTGATGCTTCAGAACAATATTGTTTTAAGTTTGAGTCATACTTCAGGTTTTTTGAATCAGAGTCCTTTGCTGCCCACATGTAGAGTTTATTCCTACTTATTCCCATGTATTTATTTATTGAAGTTTTAAAAGGAAAATCTTTCAAATAATGTAGAACATAGGGTAGGGTGACACCTTAGACTTGAAGAGAGGGCCATAAGCTTTCCTAGGCAATAATCTACTTTGTCAGATGCTATGAAATAGTATGGCTTTCTAATAGTGTGAGCAAGAGCGGGGGAAGGCACCACCCAGCACCTGGGCATAGAATTTGAACCATTTTTGTACCTTTTTTACCCTTTATTCTTGTACCTAGTTATAGGGTCTGTATTTATTTACCCCATACATACGTTAGAGAATCCTGGCTCAGCTAGCTGGAATGTAAAAACTGCCATATGCAGGTCCAGTTTTGGATTTCCCATCTCTGGGTTTCTCTTCCTAGTCCAGAGACTAATGCACAGTCAAGCATAGCATCTAAATAATATATATTCAGTTTTTGATCACTCTGTGGACTTTGTGATGTACTTTGTCATCTTTTTTTAAGTATCACTATGATTCATTTACCAAAATGACATTTTCTATTTCATAGACAGCTGTGAAGTCTGTGGGAATATGTTCAGCAAATTGAATTTTTCTCCATGCTGTAGCTTATTGCTGCAGACCTCTCCATGCTGTGGGTGGGGATACTTTAAGATAACAGGCCATCTGCAGCAGACAGACACAGCAGGCAAAGACGCAAACGTAATCAGCAGTGATCCTGCTGTGCTTGAGTTACAGTACTACATCAACATACTTTGACTCAGCAAAAATGCTGGAGTTCAGAAATGCTGATTCACAGTTTGCTAGTTCAGATGCCAAGTTATCTGTTGGCTGAACTTTCCAGGCCTTTAAATGTCTTAACAGACATACAGCAGCTTACTGCTGCACCCTTGCTGACTTGAAGCAAATGAGCCCCACCTTATCAGCTGCATGGAATTGATAGGTTTCCTAACCTTTTTATTTTAGGGCTTTATAAAAATGAAATGTTTTTAATATATAGTGTTTGTGAGGTGTGAAAAACCAGTTCCATTTTCTCTTGGATTAAAAGTGGGATAATGTTTTCTAGATCTTTAATGGTTAGCATTTATCATACTAGTGAATAAAATACTAATTTGCCATGTGGAGAGAATGATTTGTATCTGCCATCCTTGCCCTTTCAATGCTTTTGTATTTGAATGTATTGATGTTCTTCTAATTTCTCAGTAGCCTGAAGTTTAAATTACTTTTAAAAGCTTGAATTACTAAAGGTGTGTTCTATAGCTGATCTAACTGCTCCCTTAGTAAGAGAGTTGATAACAGTTAGGTGAATAAAATACTGAAATGGGTAATTATTCCTTTAGTTTTCTTCATTTTTTGAATTACACATATTTGGAACTTCTGTGTCATATTTTTCATGACTCTTTTGGCCTAGTAATATTTATTGGACTTGCTATTGTTTTTGGTCTCTGTACTTCTGCTAAACTGCTAGATAAATCAAGAGAAATCTCCTTTCTCTAAACACCCAGTTTGAAGGTCAGTCTCCCTGGTAACTATTAAAGGTAATTTATTTGACTTTTTCCGGAGACATATTATTCTACTTTTCATATATTTTAGAGAGTATAAATAGATATGGCCATTGTTTCACTGTCAGAGAATACTAATTCAAGCCGTTAAAATGCACTTCTTACATCTGTATAATCCTGTAATTGTACAGGTGTAAGAAGACTACTCCAGCTTTAACCCTGCTTAGCTCAGAATCTGAGTTGGTGCAATTTAACTAACTTGTAATGCTACAGGATCAGATAGACATAAGAGTTAGATCATAACAGTTGTGGCATACTCCCAAGCAACAGCAGTCCCCCTTCCCTTTCAAAGTGGCTAAAACGTAATTTATCCATACCCAAAATTGCTGAAAAACTGACCAGCTGTTTCTATATTGCATGTAGGCCAATGCAGACCCATCTGTGATAAACTGCTTACATAATCTCTCCCGTCGAATTGCCATAGTTCTACAGCACGAGGAACGTCGTTGCCAGTATCTGACCAGAGAGGCCAAGCTGATCTTAGCCATTCAAGATGAAGTATCTGCCATGTCAGAAGGTGAGTTCTGAGCTCAGCTTATTTTACTGAAAAAACCCGTCATAGGTCCTCATAAGTTAAAACAGTCTGAGAATTTTAATTTTGTACATACTTCTCGTAGCAGCAAGGCAGTAACAGGAATGAAGATGACTGGTAACATAGTGACCTAGTGAACTGACCTTTTGTTTTTGGAGACTTGAATTACCATCCCATTGGGAGGGATCTTGGACAAAATCAGTTTTTCATCTTAGCCCAATGTTTCAGGCTTCTGCTAGCTGCCTCAGGGGGGCCAGGAAGGAATATTTTCCCCCCTCTTGTGAATGTTTTATTGGCTTCTGCACTTTTTCCCTCATTTCTCTGAAGCTTTGATAATTGGCTGTGCTTGAGGTAGGAGGTTTGACTAGGGCATCCCGACAGTCCTTAGAAACCTTTTGGGTTACCTTTTTTAGAGGGTTTTGCTCTTCCCCTCAAGTTCAAATCAATTGCCAAATTAAGGTCAGGAAATTCATTTTTCCCCTGGGTCAGATTTGCAAGGACTATGAGTTTTTTCCCTTTTTCTTAGTGTGAGCATTTTTACTTTCCTAGCATCATCTGAGCATATTTATTCTAATATGCTGGGAAGTAGCTCTGGACTGAAGAATTGCTGCCATTGCAGGAGGACTGTCTTGATCACCTGATTGGAGTGAGAAGGACCAACTCAGCCAGAAGACCCTAAAAAAGCCAGGGAGCCTCCTTGGGCAGGTGTCCAGGCATATTTTGCCAAAGGACAACCCTCAATGGTGCGCTTTGTTAGGGATTGAGGCACGGGTCTTTCTGTTACTTCCTTGTTGTGGTTCTTTTGAATTCAGTGCTATGCTTGTTTTGGGGTGGGGAGGAGGAGGGAGAAGCAATGTGCTTTTTGGAATAGCCACAGCCTCTCTGTAGGAGAGGTGGGAGGGATCTCCTGTTGTGTGAGGAAGGGGAGTGTGAGTGGGTGGGAAAGGGGGGGCAGTGGGAAGTGGTTTCTTACATCTGGATGCAAATGAGATTGGGAAGTGTGGTGCGGCTTGGCCAGAGAGTTTGCTTTTATGAGTGTTAAGCAAGGAAGCAGTATTTGGAGGGGTGGGGAGGGGAGACGGTTGTCGTTTTCAAGTTTAGGGGTTTTGTTTGGAGAGTCTATAGTTATTTCCTACCTGTAGGTTGCTTTTTATTGTAAGCTGCTCTGAACCTTTTGGATAGGGTTGACTGTGCATCTAAATAATAATAAAAGCTCCTCCTGTATTGTAGTGGCAGCATGTTGGGGACCCCTTATCTCCCTTGTTTTTACATTGTGGTATGTTATAAGGCTGGAGTGCTCAGCCTCCAGCCTACAGGCCACATCTCGCTGCCCAGAAATGTCATCTGGCCTGCAGGGGTCCCCACGAATCCTGTGGGGAGCCTCGTAGGCCATGATCCTGCATGCTAGATCAGACATTCAGGTCAGTGCAGGACCTGATCCTGGCATGTGAAGGCTGGGTAAGGGCAGCGCAGGGCTCCAGAGCCTGATCCTAGCTGGGGGAGGGCTAGCACAATGGCAAGTCTGGCAGAAGACCAGCTTGGCTTAGGGAACTCTTCAATAAACAAAATCACAAAAAGAAAACTTATATAAAAAGTGGGAACTAGGACAGATAACTGGGGAAAAATATAAGAGCATTGCTTGGGCATGCAGGGATGAAATCAGAAAGGCCAAATCGCAATTGGAGTTGCTGCTAGCAAGGGATGTGAAGGGTAACAAGAAGGGTTTCTATAAGTATGTCAGTAGCAAAAGGAGGATTAGGGAAAGTGTAGGTCCTTTACTGAATGGGGGAGGCAACCTTGTGACAAGAGGATGCCGAAAAGGCTGAAGTATTCAACGTCTTTTTCATCTCAATCTTCACAGGCAAGGTTAGCTCCCAGACTACTGCACTGGACACCATAGTTTGGGGAGGATTTGAGCAGCCCTCAGTGGTTAGGGACTACTTAGAAAAGCTGGATGTCTACAAGTCTGTGGGACTGGACAGGATGCATCTGAGGGTACTGAGGGAGTTGGCTGATGTGAGTGTAGAACCACTGGCCATCATCTTTGAGAACTCATGGCAATCGGGAGAAATCCTGGATAAGTGGAAAAGGGCAAACATAGTGCCCATATTTAAGAAAGGGAAAAAGGAGGATCTAGGGAACTACAGACCAGTCAGCCTCACCTCAGTCCCTGGAAAAATCATGGAGCAGATCCTCAAGGAATCCATTTCTAAGCACTTGGAGGAGAAGAAGGTGATTAGGAACAGTCAGCATGGATTCACTAGGGGCAAGTCATGCCTGGATTGCCTTCTATGATGAGATGACTGGTTTTGTGGATGTGTGTAACAAATGGGCATCCTGGGGCTGGTCTAAACATTGACCCACTACTTGTTTCAGGGCAAACCGCTCATTTGCCACGCCTTTAATGTAACCATTATAAAGTTGATAACAAGGCAGGAGGCTGCCCATTTACTTGCCCTGGTGTCAAGGGCCTATATACATGGCTCTGAACTTCCCCTTATACCATGTCCCATGCCCCGCAGATGGCATCCATGGCCTAACACCTGGCCTGTGATCCAGTGCCTACACACCAGGACCCTCACTCCAGTGCTTCATGTTGGGACTCTCACTCCTGTGCCCTCACACTGTAGATCGCAATCTCTATGCCCTCATGTCAAGACTCTCAATCTCTGTGTCCTTGCACTGGGCTCTCAATCTCATTTACTCGAGGCTTCCAACCCTTCCCTTTTCTTCAGCTCCCTGCCTGGCTTAGGATCCTCTTGGTCCCCTCACACGTCCACCCTGGGACCTTAATCCCCTTGCCCGACACTGAGCTTTAATCCCCTTGCCTGACACTGGGCCCCAATCCCCTTGCCCTGGGAGCTTCACACCCGGCTCTTCCATGGGCTCAGGGCCCCACCCCCCTAGAGCCTCACACCCAGCTCCTTCATACACCTCGGGACTCGCTGTGAGCCTGGGCCCTTGGTTTGTCTTCAGGGTGTGCTACCCTAGCCTGTCCCCTCCACAGGGTAACCTGCAAGGTAGCAGGGGCTGAGGCTTTCTGGTGTCCCATACTTGCCCTTCATTGGGGAGGCACAGGTGTAACGTTTCCTGGAGACTGCCCTGCCACTGGCAGTCCCACTACACCATCCAGGCCCAGTAGGGTGTAGTTTTAGGTCATGCCCCAGGACCAGGAGCCTTTACCTTCCCCATAGCTTCTGCCCTATACCTCCAAGATGTTCTGAGCAGCAGCTCCAGCTGCACGATGTTCCTTCTCTGGCTGCCTGCAGCAAACTGTTGGCCCTGCTATTCTTTATGTCTAGCAGCTGGGCCCGCTTCCCCAATCAGGTGGCCCTTGGCTGGCCATGTCATTTCTGATGGGGATTGCAGCCAACTGCAGGCTGCTCTGCTAGCTCAGCCCCTTTGAGTAACAGAGCACAATTTGTGCTCTGTTACATGAATGTGGTGTACCTTGATTTTAGCAAGGCTTTTGATAAAGTCTCCCACAACATTCTCGAAGGCAAGCTAAGGAAATATGGACTGGATGAACAGACTGTAAGGTGGACAGAAAACTGTTTGGATCATCGGGCTCAGAGTAGTAATCAATGGCTCGATGTCTAGTTGGCAGCCGGTATTAAGTGGAATGACCCAGAGGTCGGTCCTGGGGCCAGTTTTGTTCAATGTCTGGAACTACCTGAAAGATGGCATAAAGTGCACCCTCAGCAAATTTACAGATGACACCAAGCTGGGGGGAGTAGTAGATACACTGGAGGGTAGGGCTAGGATTCAACATGACCTAGACAGATTGGAGGATTGGGCCAAAAGGAATCTCATGAGGTTCAACAAGGACAAGTGCAAAGTCTTGCTCTTGGGAGAGACCAATCCCATGCACCAGTACAAGCTAGAGGCTAACTGGCTGGGCAGCAGCCCTGCAGAAAAGAACCCAAAGGTTACAGTGGACAGGAAGCTGAATATGAGCCAGCAGTGTGCCCTTGTTTCCAAGAAGGCTAACAGCATACTGGGCTGCATTGGTAGGTGTTGTCGTGGAAACACACACAGTATACTTTTGGGTCAGGTCAGCAGAAGCTTTTATTCAAAAAAACTACAGCTGTAGGGGGGACCCCAAAGTGACATGGATTTCCCAAGCACTTGGAAGGGGTTCCCCCCCAAGACAAAATCAGGAGGCTTATATACTTTTTAACAGTCGCTTACAACTCACGTGATCATATAGTGAAATTAGCATGAAAAGCGGCTATAACATTACTTCATTACTTCTTTGCTGTAATCAGGATGGGAACTTATGGGGGAGGCGAGGTTAGTTCACAAACATTCTTGCACCTGGAAATCAGAGTTGTACATACTTTTTGCTGTCTTCAAGGCCGCGGTGAGTGAAGCAGTTGCAGAGCAGTTACAAAGAACAAACACTTTCCCTTATTTGTTCTACTGTACAGAGCCAGCAATTCTCCACAAAGTGGTTATGTCATCTTATAACTCAAATAATCAAAGTTTAAGGCATTTATTTATTTTTTCTGATTCCACAGTGTGTTGCCAGTAGGTCAAGGGAAGTGATTATTCCCCTCTACTCAACACTGATGAGGCCACACCTGGAGTACTGTGTTTAGTTTTGGGCACCCTAAAATAGAAGGGATGTGGACAAATTGGAGAGAGTCTAGTGGAGGGGAACAAAAATGGTTCAGGGGCTGGAGGACATGACTTATGATGACAGGCTGAGGGAACTGGACTTACTTAGTTTAGAGAAGAGAAGATTGAGGGAGGATTTAATAGCAGCAATCAACTACCTGAAGTGGGGTTTGAAAGAGAATGGACCTAGATTGTTCTCAGTGGTGGCAGATGACAGAAGAAGGAGGAACAGTCTCAAGTTGCAGCAAGGGGAGGTTAGGTTAGATATTAGGAATAATTTTCTCGGTAGGAGGATAGTAAAACACTAGAACAGGTTACCCAGAGAGGTGGTGGAATCTCCATCCTTGGAGGGTTTCAAGACCCGGCTAGACAAAGCTTTGGCTTGGATGATCTAGTTGGGGCTGGTTCTGCTTTGAGCAGGGGTTTAGACTAGATGACCTCCTGAGGTCCCTTCCAACCCTAATTTTCTATGAGTCTGTGATTCTCTGCCTGACCAGGGTTGTGCTTCAGGACCCTGCTCTCCCTCTGTCTGGCTCTTGAGCCCTGGGCCCCATGCCACCCCTATCCTTATGCAGGGGTTCCAGAGCCGTAGTCTGTGGACTGGTCCCCTACTATTCATTTGGCCTGTGGAGCCAGAACTGTGAGCACCACTGTTATAAGATGTTTTGTTTTCATAAGATGTGATGTATATGAGGGCCAGGAACCATTGGCTTTTAGGACTTGTAAGATAGATGGTTGTATATGAGCACAAGGAACTGGACTTGACCTGGGAGGCCTTTCAAATCCTGTTTGCAGTTCCTATTTGTACATACTGTATAAAACCCATCTTCTTTGAAGTACATACAATAATTGGGCCTCATTCTTTAAAAGCAGAAGGAGGAAGCACATCCTTGAAAGAGAGGTCTCAGTTCTGGAGGGTTGTGGTATTGTGCTTGAGGTCACCTACAATATTGTGTGAGCCAACTACTAAACCAGCAGCGAAAGGGACGCTACTCTTTGGCTATAGAAACATGGTCCAGTGTGAATACTTGCAAAATGGGGGTTGCAGTCCTTGCAAAATAGAAACTGCAGAGACCTAATGGTCCTTCTGCATCTATGCTACTCTTCTGTCAGATGAACAGGCTCTCTTGGGCCTTGTTTGCTTTTTCCCTTCTTGGTCCCTGAAGAAGAATCTTTCTAAACCCAAACCATAAGTCTGTTTTCTTTGTTTTCTGCCCAAGATTTCATTTTGTATTTCTTCTTTCAGAGAACTCTCTTTACTGCAAAGGTTGCTATGCTTGCCATTCTGCTGTTTACTTTTTTTTTGGTAAAGAACACAGAACCTAGATCTTTTCATGTCTTAAGGTAGAGAGACTTCCTTGGAGAGTTGAAGGAATATTGTTGCTTTTCTGGAGAGTTTTATTTGTTGCCCTTTTATGACAGATAATTATAAACTTGGCATAATATGTAGCTGAAAATAACAATGCTGGAAGCACCATCATAAAGCAGTTGTGTGTGAATGCTGGGAAATGCGTTTGCATCATGTGTCTGAGCCTGAACATTTGCGTGATATTTTTGGTCACTATTCTTTTACAAGTTCGGTATCTAATTCAGGTAGATAACAACGTGATCTGCAATCAGAGTAAGCCATCTAATGTTTGAAATAGCTGATAAAGCCTCTAGCCATGAACTAGGCCATCTGAGCCCCAGTCAGACTTTGCAAAGAGATCTTATTATAATTTAGATATTTTGAAAAAAAATAAATAAATTTCAATTTTGAGGGAAGTGGGAGGGGAGGTTTTACTGAAGGCAGATTTTCTGATATTTTTGGAGTATTCATTTTATTACCGCTCCCATACTTTTGAGTATAAACAAATAACACCCTGATTGGGCTCAGTCTAAATGGGGTCTTTGGGGCTGTTATCATTCAGGCTGGTTTTGACTTCATTTTGGTTTGTGTGCTCCAAGATCATGTATGCTGCACAGAAGTGTTGGCTGCTCAAGTAAAGTGGCTCAAGTATTTTTCTACTAGCTTAACTTCAAACAGTTCGTTAAAAAAGTGAATGACATAACCTTTTCCTTCTGATACGTTTCCTAGCTTGATATGGAAGTGCCCCACAGGCAGTCTCAAACTCAGGCTTTCCCCGCTGTAACATTGTGTGCTGAGAGAGGCTCACAGAATCTGAGGAAGTAAGCTTGGGCTCTCAGAAGCTTATACAGCTCTGATTTTGTTAATCTGTAAGGTGCATCTCCACCCTGCCTTCTTCATTGCATGCAGAGTTACCTAGTTCTTCCTGAGAGGAAGCTTTCCATTTCTATATTTTGTTTCCAGGAGCAATATATGTAGTGTGACATGATATATTTTCATAAATTTTACATTATAGTTAAGGCGTGATGTAAAAATTTCCAACTAGCTAATATTCCATTTTCTGATATTTCTTAGGCACTTAGGAGCCTATGAATTCATTAAAACTCAGTGGGACTTAAGTGCTTTTGAGAATTTTATCTTTTGTGATGAAACCTGAGAAGCCAAAGATTGATGAGAGTTGGCCAGTATTATTAGTAATTAGGATGGACAGTATATTTTTTAGAGTTCTATTAATAAACCATCATTAATGCCTTAGATAACTGTATGTTTGGATTAAACTCCATACAGTTTTGTTTTTTTATCTTATCTATAACATGAGTCCTGTTAAGAGATTTTAAAAAATTAAAACTTAGAAAGCCAAAGAAGTATCTGCTTCTTGAATTAGTTTGAATTTAAAAAAAAATTGGGAACATTTTACTCTTAATTGTCTTATATTTACTCAAATTAAAAAGTATGTTGACATGAAAATATAGATTAAACAGACATGAAATTGCCCAGGTCCAATGTCTCCTTGGAATTGGCTATTACAGTAGTGCACAATTAAAATGACAGTTAATGTCTATAAATGAACTTTCTCTCTGTGAGGACAATTGCAGACTTTCTTGCTTTAATCTTTCCATAGCAACAGAAGGTCCACAGTCTCCTTTCCATCACATCCTACCCAAGTGCAAGCTGGCCAGAGACCTCAAGGAGGCTTATGACAGGTAAGTGGAATATTCACTGAGAAGTTGTTTAACATGTAAATTCTCATGATAATCTCCTGATTTTTATTCTGTTAGTGATAATTAAAGCAAGTAGAGGTTTGGAAGAATATACAGATTAACTCTCAGAATAAACTTGAAATATTAAATGTAGTGCAATTGCTGTCATGGTCTGCAGTGGAGTATTCAGCGGATCATTATCTGTTTCTGAAGACTGTCTTTGTCACTGCTGTAAGAAGTGTATTATCTTTTTCTTGGTTGACGAGACAGAATAGCAACTTATCTGAAGTGTCTTGCCAAGAATACCTTCGACAGTAGTTCTTCAAGGAGGCATCACAGATATTCAGTTTTAAGAGTGCTTCAGCCAGAATAGGTATTAATGCCAGAGACTGCACTTGCCTTGGTTAGCTACACAGTGGGTGCATCTACACATGAAATTAAGGTGAAGCAATAAACTCCGGAGCTGTTTGAGCCAAGGTAAACTGCTCCTTGACACAGTGTCTACATGCGTGCCCAGAAGAGCAGCAAGTTGAGCTGGGGCAGAGCAGACTCGGGTTGGTAGGGGGTACGGGGTGTCAGCCCTGGGTGACAGCATTGAGTGGCAGAGGGGCTGGCTGGGGCACAAAGGTGCTGAACCTGCAGAGCCATGTGACTAGGCAGCAGCCAGGAGTCTGCCTGCTACCCAGTCACCGTCTACACGTGCGTTTCAGCATAGTTAATTAGTCAGCTATAAGATGGCACTGTCCCCGATAGTACTATCTTATGGCAGAGTTAATTAATTTACTGCACCCTAATACCAGCTTATGTGTAGACAGGGCACATCTACACAAGACGCTTTGAGCTCAGTAGAGTAATTCTACTGTGCATTAGAGCGGCAGGCAAAACCCATGCTAATGCGCTAATGTACATGAGAATTAACCTACTGCTCAGTAACATCACTTAAAACTAAAGGCAGAGTAACCACTGTGAGTTAATGCATGTGTAGATGTGCCCAGTATATACAAGAAATTATGAATCAGTGAGATTTTTCAATAGCTTGGAAAGTGTAGCCTGTCAAGACCTGACTGCTTAAAGATTTTGGGTGGGATTTCAAAGGTCTTAAAGGAATCATGTGTTTACCTCCTGTTGAAGGCAGGTGAATAGAAGAAAGAAAGTTTGACCAGTTGTTAGAACAGTGGCCTAGGACTTGGGAGATGTGGCTTGGTGTCGTCGCTCTGCCTCAAGCTCCTTTTGTGTGTGTCTTTGGTCAGGTCACTTTATCTCACTGGCTTTCAGTTCCCCATTTGTAAAAAGGGAAAAGGAAAAGCTTTGAATAATACCTGATGAAGTAGGCTGTTGCCAATGCAAGCTCATATTTCTCTGAATCAGTTAGTCCAGGGGTGGGCAAAGTCTGGCCCACCAGCTGGACTGGGCCCTCGGTGGACTCTGTTTCCTAGCAGCCCCTGCCTGTGTCACTGCAGCCAGTTTTCATGGAGATCTCAGAAGTGGTGGCACTGTGACAGCGTGGGGCCAGGGTTTCCATGGAGACTGGCCCTAGCAGCACTGGCAGGGCACACGGCTGGGCAGGGAGCTGCTTCAGGGCTGGGATCTTGTGGCAGTGACAGTGTGGTCCAGAACTGGGGCAGAGCTATAAACTGCTGTCTGCATGTCAGTACTGCGGGGCTGGTCTCTGTGGAAGCCCTGGCTCTGCACTGTCACAGCACCACTGCTACTGGGATCTCCATGGAAACAGGCTCCATTGATGCAGGTAGTGGCTGCTGGGAAATGGAGTCTGCCCACTGGCCGGATCTGCCATTTTGCCCACCCCTGAGTTAGTCTCTAAGGTACCACCCTGACTTCAGGCTTAACACTCTGGATTGGTGTGAATCTCATGAAATATACGATTGTGTTTATGGAATAAAACACATTTTCCTGGCCTGGCTTTTGAGTATCAAATGTTTCTTGCTTTTCTGTTTTCCTCCTGGATTATTAAAGCTGCTGCTGGATGGAAGAATGCTTTCTGCATAATAGTATAGTGACATGTAGTGACAGAGAACAGTGATTGAGATCAATTTAAATTTTGGACCAAAACATCATGGTAAGGGAAGAAATTATATAGCAATAGTTTATCTTCACTACTCCCAGATCCTAGCAACTGTCTTCCTTTGAAATAAACTTATACTATGAAAAAAACACATTTTGAACATTGATCCGTCTTTAATTATTTCCGTAGTTTGTTTATGGGTAAAAATGTTGCTATAGACCATTCTACTTAAAATTGGAATAATTTTTTATTTTAAGGGTTTCTTTATAAAGTTCTGTTCGCATTTGTAGTAGAATATGTGTTTATATCATTGCTTCAGCATTACTTCACATTTGGGGCTTTGCATAGTGATATGTTTTGTATCTGTGTTTGATAAGCCTGAGGCAGACACTGGCCATACTTTATCATGAGTCGTGTAAACCTAGGTATTAGTAAAGCCATGTCTTAATTTTAGATGAATTTCTAATTCTAATTCTAGGCTTGAACTTCATGGGTCTGTGCACAATGTAGTAGATAGGGTATGTGAAATTGCATGGCCAGGTTTAGATTCCAGCTGTCCAGTGACCCACTTGGACCAACATTTTCAAAAGTGAGTGCTGATTTTTTTTGGATACTTAATCTGAGATACGTTGGACTTGATTTACCAGAAATTCTGAACCCCTTTATTCATTTTAATTGGAATGATATGCAAACAATTATGCTCCCCACTAGATGACACTAGAGTATTTCAAGCAAATATAACACACTTAACATACCTAATGTACTTCATTCTGTAAAATCAGTTGTATATAAAATCTAAACATTTCTCCTAGGTAAAATATCACTTAAGCCCAGATTTTTGTATTGAATGCTTTTACCTTTTAATAATAATATCTATGGTATTGGCATTATATAATTACAGGTAATTTGTCACAGGCCAGCTGGGCACTGTGAGTATATCAGTTTAGTTGCAGACTGACTGAGCACTGCAAATTTATTAGCCACTGGGCTTTTTGGTTCAGGATCGAGGAGGTGATGTTGGGAAGGAAAGCAATGACAAGTTTCACTTATGAAAAAGAATGAATTTTACTTATAACAACAAAAGATATAGCTTGCACATATGACAGTTAGTAAAAGGTTAAGCTAATAAACAGACAATGTAACAATACAAGTTAAAATTGACAGTGATTATAAAAACAGATAGAGAAATCAACCAAGAGTTCTCACTTGGTTAGTAACTTATCGATAGTCCCTCAGTTAGAAACATGTCAAGTTGATTCAGCGAAGTCAGGCGTCCCCGATTTACGCTGTCAGAAGGAAAACTGGAGGAGGTCCCTCAGTCAGGATCTGGTCTTCGTTCACACAGGGAATAAGAGAGATCTAGGGGAATGGAACAGCAATGCCCCTTCTGTTCTGTCCTTCCTGAGGATTACTTAGCGTGGGTGTTCTTTTATATCCTGTTTATGCCAATTTTTTAGTTATATAGCCATTCATAATGTTACTCTATAGCTGTTATCTTATGGGGTTAAAAGGTGTTAGAAATCCTTACAATAAGTTACTGCCCAAGCTTGGGTTTATCCAATAAGCAAATCACACTACATTACTTTGGGGTCTGAGATCAACATGTTCCCACTTAAGTTTATTTTACTGTCTCTAAGCAGAAAAAGATTATAAAATTAGCTAAGTCTGCGGTTATATCCTTTAGTTCTGCTTTTTAAAAGTCATGCTGTTTTAAGATTAATATAAAAGCTGTATATAATTCTTGTGGGTTATATTCCAGACAGGCAAAAAACTGTTTTATAAGTTCTATTTCAGATATCTTCAAAAAACATTTTCTTTTGTTATAACTGCTTATTAACTCTTCTGGTTCTGGCTATCACAGTAATTATAAAACTAGTTTCCATAACCATATATTGGCTTTCTTGATCAGGTACAGAGATTGTAAGGGAGTTGGACATTCATTTTTCACATAAACAGTAATCTTGGAACAAAAAGCAGTAGCTTTAAGTCCAAGAAACGTCAACCACTGCTCCTTTCTAAATTGGAGTTTTCATTAATTTTGAAAATAGGCACCCACCATAAAATCTAAACTGCCACTTTAAATAACTGAAAAAACCCACAATCTGTCACTGTTAAATCTGTAGCTCTAAAATGTCTTTTAGCCTGACAGCTGCCCATAGCTTACATTTTTCTTCTTGGAAAACTCCTATCTAAGATTACATGGATTCTACTATTTTCACCTCTCTGAAGCTAAAAGTTTTTTCCACCCCGTACCCCATACATAAAGAACCTCCTCATAATTTTTGCAGCTGATGTTTTAAAAATTGCAACAACAGAACAAGAATGAATAAAAACCCATGAGAGAAGTGTGTCATTGGTTTATTAATTTTCTGTATGAGCTTTTTCTCTCAAAATGTCAGATATCCTGACAAGATATGCAGGCTCCTTAGAAACTTAAAGATGTACTGCAGAGAAAAAACTGTTGTATAGATATGCATATCATAAATGACCACAAAGACAAACTGGATATTTATTTCCATGGTCTGGCAAAAGAGGCCAACGTAAGATCCATAGAATTTTGACATCAGCATATGAATGCAGCATGTGCTGTGTTATAGCAATAGAGCTTATACTGCATGGCAGAGCTCAGTGCATACACCAGCAGTAAAAAAAAGACAAGTAGTGTATATGGAAGAGGTATGTTTCATTCAAAGTACCATCTAGCCACAGCATTATATTATCAAGAAAAGACTCCTGACACAAGTCTATAATTGTTTTCCTAACCTAAATAGAATAAACCTATAATAAGGATATGTATAGAACATTTTATTTAAAAAGTGAAATGTTTTAAAAAGATGTGGGTATAATTAGCCATTTGGCAGATGGAGAAAGAGATGTGGAGGTTAAGGCCAACATTCCACTTCATTTTCAAAGATTCTTTTGTTTTTTGGGTCCCAGCTTGGATTATTTTTTCATTTGATTTTCAGAGGTGCTGATGCTCTGAATTGACTTTAATTGGAGCTGTAAATGCTTATAGCCTCTGAAAAGCATTCTCAAGGTCTGTTAGACAGCTAGAATCAGTAGACACTTTACAACCCATACTCTCTAATGTAGGTAATTAAATTGATTTGGAGTTCAGATATAGTTGGTAAAAGCTCCATATTTCTGAAAGAGGATTGCGTCTGAGTTTCCAAATGATTTAGAATGCCATCTCCTCACGGCACAACTAGTGCATGAAGTCAGCCATGCTGTTACTATCTTCCAAATAATAATAATAATATCTCACTCTGTAGTAAGACTTACAAACTAAGTGTGTTTAGATGAACAGTGGATAGAAACTACCTCCTGGAAGCTAGAAAAAGCAACTAGTTTTTGTAGTCTGAAGCTCATCTTGACAAGATTATTGTCACATGAGTATGCTTTCCATCATTTTACTTGGTTAAAAATGAGGTGCTGTCCTGCTAGAAGTGAGAGGGGAGGGAACAAAAGCTGTTCTTTACTGCTACAGGTTACAGTTACCCTTGATGAACATAAAAGGATTCTTAGCAAGGTGTGGGGAAGGAGTGGTGCCCTATGACATCTGTGGTTATGGTAAGAGCAGAGGTGCTCAACCTTTGGCCCTCAGAACACCTGGCCCGTAGAGTTCCCCATGGGTTGGGAAATTTGGCAGTACGAGAAGTGATAATTGCCAAGCCCCTTACAGCAGGTTGGGGCTGGGCCATGCACCCTTCCCTCAGCAAAGCCAGACCTGGGTCTTGCTGTGCCTGCCTCAGGTACTGGATCTGGACCGCTAGCTAGATCTGGCCTGAGGACAGACCAGGCACTGCCCATCTGGCCTGCCAGGCAGAAAAGGTTGAGCACCACTATGGTAGAGTATTCTACAGTGTGGCTTTGAAAGCCAACTCTCTCAGCTGCCTTTCTTTTATTTTTTGTCTTTGACTGTATGAACAGAGGCTTACATAGTAGGATGGTGCAGAGTATAAATAGGCTTATGATTACACAGACTTTCATGGCCCTGAATCTAAATGCATCTCTGATTTAGTTGGTTTATAAGGTGGAAATCTATTTCCTTCTGTCCAAATCTGAAACCTGCTTTGTTTTGATGTATTGAGTGAATAGAAGTGGAGAAGCCACAGGTTCAAACTTAGTCTCTCTGAAACCTGGGGAGCCTGACCTTGGTATGGTATGAGTAATTTTGGAATTCAGAATGTGCTGTATTTCATGGGATTTCACTCTGCATCTCATTAAGACATCTTACCAAATATGCATCGTTACATTATGGGTGGATCTTTCGAGGTCCTACTTATCAAGGATAAACAGTGATATTTAAATTGTAGCCTTGAAGTCCAAGACAAACTAGGGAGTTTCCAACACTGTGGTGTAACCTTGGATATATTCTGAAGGGTTCTGGCTGATGCCTAGATGTGTTACTGAAAAATATGAACTTGGCTTCCATACTCATTGCCTTTCATGTCAGATTTGTTCAATGTATACTTTGAAGTGGATATTTTTAACTGCTAAGTCTGCAAGTTGAGCTAAGATGAAAGTTTAGTCTTTCTGCTTTGGAACAATGTTCAATTTCCGAAGTAAAGCTGTATCTAACATTTACCCAACGTGAGATTGAAAGAACATGTACTGCAAAAATTCCATTTTTGTTGGGTTTTGCAGAAGCAAGCTTTGCAAACTCTGCATCCCTTCTTGTGCTGTTATGCTTTTGAAATATAACAGTGAGAGAAAGTGGGATAGTCTTTATCTTGAATTAGGTTTTTTGAGGTTAAATGACCATTTACAGTAATTAGCACAGTACATTTGGGGAACTTTATTGGTTGGTGCCTTCTTGGAACATGGTTTGTTAGAGAAATCATTTACATATAAAACTTTGCTTAATATTGTCCAATCAGCAACACAAAAAGTGTGAAGAAAAAAATGAGAATCTTTTGAATGACCTCTACCTTTCTGAAGCAGCCAAAGGCAGTATTTTTTGGTAGTGAGGATTAAAACACCAGTGCCTGAAATGGTTTTCCGATTTTGTTTCAGAAACAGTTTTATGTAAAATCCTGACTGATATCAGATGGTGTAGATGGGGCACAAACATTTTTTTAATAGCATCAACCAGCATAAATGTGTCCCTAGAAATGACTGTTTGATCATGAAGCTTGAGAACCATCTCAGTAGCCATACTTATAACATGCAGAGGGAGGGGAGGTTTCTCTCTCTCTCTCTCAGTATCTCTATCCCAGTGTACAGGAGCCCCACGCCATCCATGGGAGACCCTTCTGTTCTCCTGGGACATTAGTGATGGCTAACTGGAGGAAGAGAGGAGGGGCTAGAGCTTTTGCAGTCACTAAGAGAAGGTAATGTTTCAGGGGTACTAATTATGGAAGTCCTCACTGCTAGGCATTCCCGTGGTTCTTGCCAGTCCCTGTGGGGAGTGGATGCAATTTCCTCCTCTTATGTTCTTGTTGTGATACCAGAAGAAGAGCAGAGCTGGTCCACTGTTTTTATTAGGGAGATGATATGAGCCTTCATTAACATTTTGTTTTTTTATCTTCTTTTAGTCTCTGTACAACAGGAGTGGTGCGTTTGCATATCAACAACTGGCTAGAAGTGAGCTTTTGTCTGCCTCATAAAATCCATTATGTTGCAACAAATTTTATACCCCCTGAAGCAATTGAAAGAAGCCTGAAATCTATTCGGTAAATACATGCTTTCCTGCAGGACCTATGTCTTCCCCCTCCCTTGTCCTGGAGATATACCAGAATTTATGTTGCACTCCATTTGGTTTTAGGACTGATTTTGCTGTATTACTGAAAAATGTTACAGAAATAATGAAGATTTGCTTTTTCTTATGCCCAAATTTAGAAAGTTGAGTTTGGATTGTATATTTATATGTTAAGTGGTGATAGATCCCATCTGCATTTCCTAAATTATGCTAATGAGTTGAAACTAAGCTCTGCTTTCCTCCCTGGCTTCTCTGTGCTTAGATATTTTTAAAATTTTTTTGTGCATTGACAGTGATTTGATACTGTGAAGTAACTGTATAAACTGTAAAATAGTTCAGTAACCAATGTCTGCATTGTCTAAAATCAGAAGATCTTGTCTTTAGACGTTCTAAGATATTCTTCATTCAGAGTACTATCAAGAAAACACTTCTTTTTAATCCTAGTAATCTTAAAATGATTTCTGATCTATGTCAAAGTTCCAGGCATGTCTAAATTCTGTGGAATTGTTATTTCCTGCAATTTTGCCCTGTTTTTGTCTCCTGCAGTGCTGCAGATATTTAGTCACAAAAATCATCTGCTCTGTTACTTTCATTTTTAGTGCCCAGTTCTAACCAGTAGCACAAGTGAGCTAAGTAGTTTAATCTCTGCTTCATTGGTACTGTAATCTGTCCATCTTGTCCTGTATGCCAACTCTGTTTCTTGCCATTGAGCTGGCCCATTATAATACAAGCTTCCACCTCCTTTTTACAGAAGACATCATCTTGTGATTTTAAACAAAAATAAGATATTTGTGAATGCTGCTTTGCTGAAACTGTAACATTGTTAGATATTCTGTTTTGTTAATATTTTGTCCACTTACCACAGCTAAGTCTTCAAGACAGCAGCAGTTAATAGTGACACATATCTGTTTGTCTTCAGGCCTTACCATGCCTTATTGCTTCTGAATGATGAGAAATTGTTGCTTAGTGAGCTCCCATTGGACTGCTCCCCTGCCTTAGTGAGAGTAATTAAAACTACCTCCGCTGTGAAGAATCTGCAGCAGCTGGCTCAGGATGCTGATTTGGCATTACTACAGGTACCTCTAATTACTGAGAGTTTTCTTCTATGTTCCTGTCGTGTTCCTTTTATATGTAAGGATGTTCCTTTAAATCAGGGCGGCCTAACTGATGGACAGCCTGAAGTTAATACACAGCCCACTGCTAGGGGGTGGGGGAAAGAACTGCATGCCACTGGTGCAGCCTAGGGAGATGGGGAGGGGGGGAGGAAGAGGGGTGCAATGCTCTGCATAAAACAGACAGAGAATGCCATGTAAGATTAAAGAAGGTTGGAAAAATGTGGTAAATAAGCCCTGATTTGGTAGATAATGTTGGTCAGCCTTAGTGCTTTAGCTGATTCCGAAAGAATTGTATCCTGAAGTAGTCATTCAGTCTCCTACTTTATCTTACATTGTTGTTTACTTTAAAAGAGTAAACTTTTTACTCTTTACTTTATTAACTGACATGTTAATGTCAGTGTAACTTCATAGATGTCTCCATCTGTTCACTGCAACTGGATTTTCTAGTCTACAGTGCCGTGTATGGACTTTCTGTCATGAGAGAACAGTGGTGCTATTGTCTGTGTCAGCACAATGCATCTAGCCACATTAATATATTAGTATGCATTAAATGATAGTATTACTGTGACACCTAAAGGTTGCAATCAGGCAGGGCACCATTGTACAAGTAGGACAGGGGTTGGCATTCTATGGCATGCTTGCCGAAGGTGGCATGCGGCATGGTTTTGATTGGCATGCAGACTGTTTCCCACCCTGAGGGGCAGGAAAAGCCATGCCCAAATAGAGCAGCACATGGCTGCCCTGGACCTGTGTGGGACCTGGCCCCATCCTGGTGCTGCCAAAGGCCCCGGCCACGTGCTACTGGCGGGCCCTGGCCTTGTGCTGGCCCAGCCCCAGCCCAGCCGGCCCCCCCACTGCCGCGGGCCCCAGCCCTGCGCGGCCCTGGCCTCAGCCCCAGCCTGGTGCCGCTGCTGGTTCCATCCCGGCTGCAGCCCCAGCGCTGTGCTGCCCATGGCTGGTCTCCAGCCCCAAACCCCTGTTGCCGGTGGGCCCCGGCCCCACGCTGCCCATGGCCCCGGCCACCACCCCAATGGGCACAGTGCCAGCACCTGCTGTCTTCCCGGCGCCCGGGGCCGGGAGACAGCCAGGGCTGGGGCGGGGAGGGAGCAGCTGTTTGCAGCCTCCCAGTTGCAGCTGGGCCCGGCTCGGGGGCGGCTGCACCTGACACACAGCCCC